GGAGCCGAGCGGCGCCCGGACAACGGGAGGCGCTGCGGCTTTGCACAACCCCCAGCCTAGCCCCCCCTGACCTCCCCGCCCGGCCCGGTGCATCCCGGCGGGGGCGGCCCGGGGCGCGGCCGGCGCGGACAGCGGCTTTGCCGGGCGCCACGTCTGCTCCGCCCGGAGAAACGCCTCCGCCGTTCGTAGCAGCATCCGTGAAGTGTGCTCTTTTTTTCCAGGTACGAAGTGAGCCCCTGCGTGGGCTGCCCAGCGCCCCGGCGGGTGTTGCTCCCGGGGGGCTGGGCTCTGGGAAGCGGGGCAGCACCGCCCCGAGGTCACCCGTCGAGAAGGTGCCTCCAGCGGGGTCGCTGGGACCGCTACACCCCTCCCAACCCCTCCCCATGCAGCTGTACGTCTGTAGGAAACCACACAGACCTCAAGTACTGAAATGAGCAAGCCACCACCGAAGGGTCTCTATTTTCAGACTTACAGACCGCTTTGAGGTCACCCGTCGAGAAGGTGCCTCCAGCGGGGTCGCTGGGACCGCTACACCCCTCCCAACCCCTCCCCATGCAGCTGTACGTCTGTAGGAAACCACACAGACCTCAAGTACTGAAATGAGCAAGCCACCACCGAAGGGTCTCTATTTTCAGACTTACAGACCGCTTTTATTAGTGAAAGAGGGAGCGTGTATACATGAAGACCGCAGTGGTAGTATCTCTTAGAATCCGTGGGTGTAGTTTGACTTTTGAAAAGGCAGGGGTTTAATCCAGTGCTTTTATCTATTTTCTTTCCTTTCAATACACATTTTCTTGTTCTCATCTGCTGATTCCAGAGTTTTGTTTGTTTCGAGGATTTGACTTAATTCTGTTGCGAGATTTAAAGAAAGAACGACGAGGAGGGAAAGAACAAAGAAAGGGATAACAGAAAACGCATTTAGAGGACAAGTTGAAACATATTTGTCGAGTCGGAGATATGCTGTATCTCGTCATTTGAATCCTGGGTCTCTGTGTAAGAACCTTTAAAATCGTGTTTCTAAGGGTGACGTTTTCGCAGACCATTCGAGGACAAACCACTGTGGAAGCAATTGTGATCCTGAAGAACGGTAAACATTCCAGGCAGAAACTCATACCCAGATGTGTATTTTAGTTTCTGTGATATAATGTTCGAGTCTTTTTTCAAAATCCCAAGAAACTTTATTTCCCTTTCAAATTCCTATTTCCTGGAAAGTTATTTGGGTTTGGGTTTTTTTATTTGGTTGTTTGGTGGTGCATTTTGGGGGGGGGGTCCCTCTTTTTTTAATACCAGGTGACAAAGGTTCTAGTAGCTGAATAGTAACAAACTACAGGGTAGACCAAAGAAACCCAAAAAAGTCTGTGGTTTTGACATTAAGAGCCAAAGATAGGGCAGGAGCAGAAAGAGAAAATCCGTCTACAAAGACTGAGAGGTTGTCTCTATAATAATAAAGAACGTTACTCAATTACCTTTTTTCCTTCTTTTTTTTTCTTCTTTATTTTTTTTCATTCCCCCCCCCCCCCCCCCCTTCCTTTTTTTCGTGTAGATTCCTCCTCCCCTGTTCTTTGCGAAAAATCGGGTTAGTGAGCAAGAAGTTGGTAACGAAATACCCGCTACTTATTATTACTGCTGCTGGGCGCCTGGCACCAGGGAAGGCTTCCAAAGGAGCCTTCTGGACTGGAGGCTTTCCACAGTAAAGATATAAAATGGTTCCAGTGACTCACCTGATGTTTGCCAAGTGGAGGTTAATATCGGTGGATCCGCATTCAAACCTCTGTCCGCATTTATTGGGTGGCTGGTAGTGTTATGTCTCAGCGCGGTGACTCACATGGTTTCTAATCGTAAGGCACCAGAGAAAAATATCATGACCATCCACATCGGACGACAGCTCTGTTCGAAGGACTAGGTTCAGCACATGAGGGGGTCGGAGGGCTTTAGGGACAGCGGAGCCGAGCTCTCCTGCTCGCAGCCCGAGCACCGAGTGTGATCACCCGCCCCGAGGGCACCGGGAGCGGGGGGCTGCGCGGCAGGGGCGGGGGGTGCCGTGGAGGTACTTGCGCGGGAAACAGTTTTGAAGCTAGGGGAGGGAGTGGGCGAAGCGTGTGGGCTGCAGGACTAGGGACTTTGGAGCACGTCCCGAGTTAAAGGAGCGTCTACTGGACTTCAGTAAATACTGCCCTTAATCTCAGGGGTTTAAGGCTGGATGGCCTTTTGCATTCCTTTCAAACAGAGGAGGCTGCCCTTCCCTTACCTACCTCATTTAATTTCCACCGATCCCTCCTAGCATTTGTCCTGTCCATCTGGAAGGGAGGTTTCCCGCCCTCCTTTTCTTACTCTGCCCCCCTCTGCCACCTCTGTCTCTCCTTCCTTCCCCACAAGCTTAAACCAATTACACCACTTTGCAAATAAAGTGCCGCCCCAGGGGGAGTTGCAGGCGAGGGGAACTGCCTTGTTTGCAGGTGCATCTCCGGCTTTGTAGGTGCGAACGCCTTTGTGCGACGGACAAATGGGGAGAGGAGGAGGAGGAGGTGGGTACTTCTGCGACGTAAGATCCACATCAGCTCAACTCCACTCACATCCCAGCCGGCACTTCCTCACTTTCTCAACTGTCTCGCCCCACACCGCTCCCTGCCTCCTTTTTGGCTGGTTATAGAGGAGGATTCAGCACCCCACGCCCCTCCCGAGAGCTGGCTTCCTGCTAGTTCGGGCTTTCGGGCTCTTTTCCTGCTGCCCGTCGCTTGCTTGCAAGAGGGCTGGATGGTTACACCGGGCAGGTTGGCTCCATAATGTTAGGGACTGTGAAAATGGAAGGGCATGAAACCAGCGACTGGAACAGCTACTACGCCGACACTCAGGAGGTGAGTAAATCCCGGGGTCTGGCTCCGCTGCTGCCCCTATCTACGAGGGAGGGGGAGTCGGCGGTGGGGGAGGAAGGG